TGATTATTGAGTTCAAGATCATTATGACTTTTTCAATATAGTGCAAGTGTTTGGTTATTACACTTTTCCATTATTTATTCTTTGTTCCAAATGGGTACCCAGCCGTAGCTAGCCAGCCGCATCAAACAAGCTCTAACATTATCACGGAGGTGCCTCAACCGCCGTAAAAATCGTCTCCCACGACTTCTCATCATCTCCCTCTCGCGTCGTCGCTCAGCAATACTATCTTCGGTCGTCTCTTTTCGACAGACCGGGCAAGAATTGTGCATCCTCAACCACGGAACAACACAATCATCGTGATAAATGTGTTTGCACGGCAACTCCTTCGCATCCTTACCAACCTCAAACTGATCCCGGCAAACCGGACAAATCTCCGAATCCGCTATATGAGATTCGGAGATTTTCACGGTCGGTATTGCACCGATCACCTGTTCCGACGCCGGGGGAGGACCCATGGGCCTGTTTATTTGTGTGGCATGCCGGCCACGGGCCGGGTGGTTTTGTATTATCCGTCTGATCAGAGGTATCATGCGGTCAGAATTGTTTTGGTCTATTGGCGGTCTGGGATGGTCTGTTCCTGAAAGCATAACTAGAATGATGCCGACAACCAAATTTGGGGGACGCATTGTAATCCCTATGATTTGGTACATGGGATTTGCACATTCAACGCACGTGACAATAGTCCCAAATGAAGATGAGAGAGAATGTGTTTGGCATATGGAGCACCAATAACAGAGTTGACCATCCAGGACTGCGTCAACGAATTGGACTAGTGTATGATTGTGGCACGTGGGACAAATGGTTTCGGGCGAAAAATCTGAGACGGCGCGGAATATTTGACTACACCCTGGGCACCAATAATCGAGCCCCTCATTATTCTCGCCGCCGTGGTTGTTCGCCGTGCTGGTGCCGGCGGCATCCATTAGTCAATTAATTCACGAAAAAAGCTAATTAGATGAAATACGAAAAAAGCTAACTAGATGAAATCGATAGATACGTATATATGTAATGTAAAATTAGTTCGTTAATTAACATACGTTATATTCTTATACGCAGTATATAGATTCTACTATTGTACAAGTGAGCACAAACTTATGGAGAAATAAAAGTATGTTTGTTCTTATGGATGCTTTTTGTACAAGAAAGTTGTAGCTAGATAGGCCTTCATTCTTCGACCTTCGGACGAGTTAATTGCTGGGTTTTTTTTTTTTGAGGGATGCTGGTTTGTTTGATGGTGAAGAGAAATACTTGATAAATGGTAATGATCAAGAGTTCCTCCCACGTTTAATGGGGCACTTGCCCCCAATAAACTCCATTTTTTAATAAGTAGTATACTAGTTATATGTCTATAAAAAGAATTGAATATGCCCCCATTAAATATTTTATGAAGCCCCCGATAAATAATGAGGTTTTTACTTGAATATTACTAATTTTGAATTAATTACCAAAAAAGAGACCATTTTTAAAAAGGAGCAAAAAAATAATCAAGAAGATCATATATGTGGAATTATAAAACATGATGTCACTGCAAAAATTTTATGTCATTATTTTCGTTTTTTTGTAACTAAGAGTCATCATCTTCGAATTTTTTCACGCCAATTACACCGCCACTGTCACCGCCACAGTGACACGCTATACAGTGACTTCCATTTTTGCCTCCCACCGGTGACCGCAGCTTGTCGGAGACCGCCGCCGGCCGGAGATTGTCGCAGCCACAGTGACGCCGCCATAGTGATGCAACCATAGTGACGCCGTCATAGTGACGCCGCCACAGTGACGCCTGCGCCGCCATCAATGTCACTATTACCCGCCGGAAGTGTAAATTTCAATCAAAACCGGCTGCCACCACGACGCCACCGCAACAGCCGCCTCCCCAACCCCCCACACCTGCACTCAGCCGCCTCAATCCTGGCTACTGCCGTTGTTGACCTCTGCCGCCAACATTTACCACATCAGCCCCTCCGGCCACACCACTTCCTCCCCTGCACCACCGCTCACAGGCCCCTGCACCACCGCTCACAGGCCCCTGCACCACAACTCCCAAGTCCGTGCAACACTGCCACAACCAAACACCACCATCAGTTCCCCACCGCTACTGCACCACCCCAGCCCCCTCCCCGACCTTCTAGCCACCCGACCTAACCCCAAGCCAAATCTCTGTACAAAAACGAAAAGAATGGCAAGATAAGAAGATGAAGAAGAATCAGATCTAAACCGATTTGGCTATGGCGACGAAGAACGGCGAAAGTGGCGAAAGAGGCAAAAGCGTCGTCCCTACTGTAGCAATTGCGTCCTCACCACCCATCTACCCCAAATCGTAGCCACCACGAGTCTGTAACCTAGCCACTGCAGAAGAGGAACAATCGATTGAAGCACAGGGAGTCAGATCTGGATTATTCTTCGATGATGGAACAACCGGCTTGAGCGAAGAAGAAGAGATTGGTGTTGGTGCTGGTGATTGTTTCTGCAATGACGACAGAAGTATTCAGCCATGGAGCTCTGGAGCCTGTGCGGAAGTTTGGGCGGAAGAGGAAGGTGAAAGCGTAAGTTAAAGCCGAAGGTGGGGTACGTTAAAAGCCAGATCACTTTTTGGTACTTTTCAAAACTGGTCATATTTTTATCTAATAGAAGTTGAGAAGTAATATTGGTGTCATTATTTCATAAATAATTGGACTGCATCCTACAAAGTATAACATTTTATGTTACTAAATGGGTTTTTTACAATAATATTACTAAAATAAAATATATTTACATAAATATGACTATTCATTACTACAATGTGGTGTTGTGGTAACTTAAGCTCAAAACTTGAACATGAATTACTATGATTTCATTACTACTCTAGTCACTAGTCATATTTTTGTAAATCATCTTTATTTTGATCATATTTATGTAATTATTTCTTACTAAATCGATCAACCACATATAACTGTAATTGTATTTATTTTGTTCAAAGTAAATTTAATTGAGGAAAATCAAGAAATATAAACTATGAGAAAACTAAAATTGATGTTTTTTTTATTTATTAAAATTGATGTATATATAATTGAATCTAAATGAGATAATATTAATTGAATAGTACGTATAACTGATGGACAGTCTACCCGGGGGTATCTTATCCGAGGGGTTATTGCGGGAATAACTAGAGAGAAGTCAGAGTAAATGGGAGGAGAGAGAGTCAATTTTATTAAATGAACTCAGCGTGTGGAGTTGGGATGTCGATTACAAGGAGAAATGGGCTGCTATTTATAGCAGCAATAAATGCGATGAGAGTACACGTGTCAGTAATCCAACGGCCGAGGGGTCACATCAATCGGGGTGGCACCGGCCATCGCACGTTCCCCGCATTAAATGCGGTGGGTGGATGTGACGTCGCATTAAATGCGGTGGTTGGCTGTCTCCAAAGGGAATCTTCGATGATTGAGTCCGTTTAGCCGAAGGCTCCTCGCGTAGCCGAGGGCTTCGTGTGGACGAAGGCACTGTGTATGGCCGAAGGCTTCATATATGGCCGAAGGCTTCATGTATGGCCGAAGGCTTTATGTATGGCCGAAGGCTTCATGTATGGCCGAGGGCTTCATGTATGGCCGAAGGCTTCATGTATGGACGAGGGCTTCATGTATGGCCGAAGGCTTCATGTATGGCCGAGGGCTTCATGTATGGCCGAGGGCTTCATGTATGGCTGAGGGCTTCATGTATGGCCGAGGGCTTCATGTATGGTCGAGGGCTTCATGTATGGCCGGGGGCTTCATGTATGGCCGAGGGCTTCATGTATGGCCGAGGGCTTCATGTATGGCCGAGGGCTTCATGTATGGCCGAAGGCTCCTCGCGTAGCCGAGGGCTTCGTGTGGCCGAAGGCCCTGTGTAGCCGAAGGCTTGGTTCAGCCGAGGGCTTCCCTGGTGCCGAGGGCTCCTTTTTTCTGCTGTTTTCTCCTAGTAGCTTCACATGGTCGAACATGGCGGTTCTGTGAGTTTTGGAGCCTTCGGCCAAGGAGGCCGAAGGCACCTCTGTGTGTATTGTGGGCTTCTTGACACTTGGGCCGCCGAGTCTTGGGCCTCCTGAGCTCCTTGGGCTTGTTGGGCTTGTGATAGATTAGTAAGAGTCTGTGGGCCGGGGGTTCCCGGGCCATATACTCCATCAGGAGTCCCTCACTCCTTTTGCCGAAAGGTACTTGAGGGAAAAGGAGTAATTGTGTTGATTCTCTCGAAGGCTTCATCGTTTTGTTGGGTGCCTTTGACTGATCACTTATCTTCTGCTGTTAGCCGAAGGCTTCCCTCAGTCCCCCACATGTTGAGGGTTTTCTGAGGGAATCGTAAATAATATCTGTATGTGTTGTGATGAAGGCTGCTTCATCATTGTCAGTGACTTTGTGGAAAGTTTCTGACATTCTGCTTTGCCGAAGGGTGTAATGGTGTATGTACCCGAGGGCGACATGTGTTATTTGTAGATTTCTTGCATGTGAGAATTTTTGTTTTTAGTCATGTGTGATTCCCGAGGGGTGTATCCCAGTCCCTCACTCCTTTAGGCCGAAGGCAAGTTCGGGCTGGAGGAGTTTTATTGTGATGTATTGACCCGAGGGCTATATGTGTGAGGGGTTGATAATATGTGATAAGATGAAGGCTTATATGGCTCTTGCTCGAAGGCATAGGAACCCGAAGGAAACTGTTGTCTGTGTGCCGAAGGGTGCTAGCTGAGGCCACTTCGCAATATAGCCGTTGGACTGTTACCCGAAGGCTTCATGTATGGTGGGAGACTTCATGGCCGAGGGGTGGCGAGAGCATCATGGCCGAGGGGTGCCGAGGGCGTCATGGCCGAGAGGTGCCGAGAACATCATGGCCGAGGGGTGCCGAGGGCGTCGTGGCCGAGGGGTGCCGAGGGCATCTGAGCAAAACCCTTAGTCGAGGTCCTGACTAAAATGATGATGGGGGCGACGGTCGCACGAAACATGATGGCGATAGTCGTCATGAGATGGGAGCCCAATCGCAAGATGAAGGCATGAAGGCGTGGCGCTGAAGGTATGCATGAGATGCTGACTTCAGCACGACGACTGACCTGAAATGATGAAGGCGATGGTCGCCATCCAGGGAGGGATGGGAACCCCAATCGGATGAGGGCACGATGTTAAAAGCATGCCTGAGCTTGAAGACCACACATTAAGCATGGAGGCCCTGGTATGAAGTCCAGGCCCTGAAGGTAAGGGCGCTGACGTGAGGGCCACGCGCTGGTCCGGAAATCCACACAACGGTCCTCATCCATGAAGTGAGAGGATGAGGCCGGTCTTGGGACAGATGATCACGTTGAGACCAAGGGGTCTGCCGTGTCATCATTTGAATAATCACGTTGAGACCGAGGGGTCTGCCGTGATGCAAGTACCTCGGCGCTGGGGGGCCGGTCTGGAAATCCACGCAACAGTCCTCATCCATGGAGTGGGAGGATGAGACCAGTCTTTAGAAAGATGATCACGTTGAGACCAAGGGGTCTGCCGTGTCATTGGATGAATGATCACGTTGAGACCAAGGGGTCTGCCGTGATGCAAGGACGGCAGCATTGAGGGGCCAGTCCGAAGTCCATGCAACGGTCCTCATCCATGAAGTGAGGGGATGAGGCCGGTCTTCAGAAAGATGATCACGTTGAGACCAAGGGGTCTGCCGTGTCATCGGATGAATGATCACGTTGAGACCAAGGGGTCTGCCGTGATGCAACGATGGCGGCATTGAGGGGCCAGTCTGAAGTCCATGCAACGTTCCTCATCCATGAAGTGAGGGAATGAGGCCGGTCTTTAGAAAGATGATCACGTTGAGACCAAGGGGTCTGCCGTGTCATCAGATGAATGATCACGTTGAGACCAAGGGGTCTGCTGTGATGCAAGGACGGCGGCATTGAGGGGCCAGTCCGAAGTCCATGCAACGGTCCTCATCCATGAAGTGAGGGGATGAGGTCGGTCTTCAGAAAGATGATCACGTTGAGACCAAGGGGTCTGCCGTGTCATCGGATGAATGATCACGTTGAGACCAAGGGGTCTGCCGTGATGCAAGGACGGCGGCATTGAGGGGTCAGTTTGAAGTCCACGCAACGGTCCTCATCCATGAAGTGA